AGGTAAAAAGAATGTTAGTGAAATATGGAAAATAGAATTTGACAACTGTAGTGAAAATTTAAAAGTTTTTTCTCATTATAAACCTTTGGTAAACAATGCCATAGGAAAAGGAAATATAGGATAAAAAAGTGACATTCATGAATTCTAGTTGTGTTTCTCGTGAAAGCAAATGTATTTAGTCTTAGTAAATTGTCATATATATATATATATATATATATATATATATATATATATATATATATATATATATATATATGCCAAGGTGTTTCTTCAGTTTTTCATGTGATGCAAGATGCCATTCATTCTTGAAATTCGCTTGTAAAATAAGGCTACACTAGAATATCTTGATGAAGCTATTAATGGAGTCCTTTTTTGCTTTACACTTAATATAGATATTAGATAATAAAATCACTAAGAGACTATATCTCTAGAAGGTAATAGAGTATTTAGAGTTGCAAAATATTTGTTGTCAAGATTACGAGTGTTATCTTAAAAGAGTTATCCAATAATTTACTACACTCAAGGCTCACACATCGTTTTTGTTGTGTGATATGAGAAAATTGAATACATTACAATTTTCGTTTAAACAAACATTTTTAAAAGCTAGGAAACAGTTGATTTCACACAAGTAAATCTATAGAATTTAATAGAACACGGATTTTTTGACTGGGATCACGAATAGATCGATGTTAGATCACCATTGAACACAGATTACTATAATGTAACTCATACCTCAAGTTCGAATTTATATGATCGGTTTTGGGTCATATCCTCTTATGTGAAGACGAGTGATACTGCCCAGATACCAAAATCAAGATAGATGGAGAAAGATTCAAACATACGACCCACTGCTTGGAAGTTGAGTGCTTTAACTACTAAGGTACCAATCAATATAGGTGCAGTTCGGTTAATAAATAAATGTGTGAATATCACACAAGTAGAAAATAATGCATAATAGTGTGCCATAAATAAGTTACCGCCAAATATTAAAGTGAATAGATAAGATATTCATAACTAGTATTCACTAACCAACTGCTTTACAGTAGACAGTGGGGAGCACCAAATGGATTGAAAAGAATAAATATCATATATTATTAGTATAGAGGATTAGTAGAGGTTATAGAATTTTCATTTTAAATCACAAACTGATCTTGGCTAAACCACCATGGAAATATCATATATTTCAGGGAAATAATTACTCAACAGGTTTTGGAAAAAAATCAAATGAACTGTTATGAACGTCGAGTGAGAAAATACTATTACAAAGTTTTATGAGTATTTTGATCGCTTCATCTTATATTTATTATTTGTAACACTTCAGCGTTCAATAAATTTTGAGCACGAAATATTTAAACAACTATTTTTTTGTGAAAATTCTTTTTGAATAAAATTTACGTTCGGCACATTGTTATTATATTAAAATTTTCCACTGACTAACAAGCTTATGGATGCCGACGCTATTATTGTACATCTTTTTTTAAATATGAAAAGATAAAGATGACAGAATTAAAAAGGCGATTGAATATCACTATTAACCAGACGTTTTATTTACTCGCATAAAAAATATTAATTTTAAAAATCTATAGCTATTTGGAAGTTATCTTTACTTGATAAACGACTTCAGTTACAGTTACTCTTAAAGTAGAATGTGAGGATATTTATTTATTTCAACACATAAATATTGGAACAAGAGGGCACCAAATATATATGCGCCACACCATGTGTGGGTGGGCTATGATACTGCCCGGGTGCCCAGACCGAAGTAGGTGGTTATCTTAGGGGGCCACACTCCGAACCTTCGACCTAAAGGTCTGATCCATAAGGCAGTGGAGCATCGTGAGGAGATGCAGTCCCATGGTAGCCGGTGACCAACGATTGGTTCATACGCCATTTGTTCCCGCAGGATACTGGAGCCCATGTGCACCATTGGTTTGGGATCCGGTTAAAGCGCCGGACATTCGCTTTTCGTCCTCTCATTTTCGTAAACAACACCCGCGCCACGAGAAGGCAGTGAGTAGGACTTCCCTGGCAGAGGCTATTTACGCGTGGCCGTGTGAGAGCATTTCGAGAGGAAGGGCCCACCCCACTCTCGGCCATACCAGAGCATTTGGGGGCTAACTATTTAGTTATCGTTATTAGCTCCTATTGAGAAAAAAAATACGACAAGATAGTTCTTGGAATTTCTGCATAAATTCCTCACTGATGATTACGTCAGAAGTAATCCCTGGAAGATCAATGGTGAATTCAGTCAAACTACATTTACAGCTACTAATATTTCCAAATGTAAATATCTTTCCCTTAGTATTTTATGAAGTTTTACATCACAGATTGAGTCCAATCAGACAAACATAGGACACAAGGAAGTAAAGAACAGATATTTCGTCCCAATATGAGTTCTTATCAATGCGGATTCACGATCTCTTGGAAAATTGAATACATGACCATCAGGTTTTGCCACGAGTCCTTAACCTACAGACAACTAATTTGACATACCATTGGTTCACTCTCCTAGCTTCAGTCAAGTCATAATACTGTGCAACTAACATTCACTGCATATGTATTTCATTGCCTATGCATAGTCAGTAGGCACTGGTTTACTATGAGGAAAGGTAGTACGGTTTTTTGGCAATTTGTAAGTACGAAGCTACGTAAGATCTAAGTTTAGAACGTATAATTTTAACTTAGAATCAGATAACCAGAAAGATGTGATGCTTAATAGGAATTTAAGTAAATCTTTTACGGGTATGATTGTAGAATTATACTGGAAACAATTTTGGATGATAAATAAGGTTAATTTATATTGTTACAGAAATATTTAGAAAACGCGAATGAACAAGAACCGCTTGTCTATACAGACAGAAATTTGTGCAGTATTATCACTTAGAATAATTCGTTACGAAAAATATTTTTATTAGATGGTAAGAAGTTGGTCAAGTCAAAAACAAACATATCTCACTAACCATAAATATATATAATGAAAAATGCTGGTTGCCTACGCAATTTTGAGGAAAACATTACATATCGAAAAATATGCCTTCCAACTGTTATTTTTTTAGCAAAATAATAAAGAATGTTTATCCAAAACATTTCTCACATTGTAAAGAACAAAACAAAAACAGGATATATACATTTTTATCTACAGTGATCATGTTTTCGTTGCACCAAAATATAAAGTTCTGAAATTTTTCTCTGTATAATGGTTACACCATTATAAAACCTGGCGATATCTCGTTCTTTTTCGGATAAAGAAACATTCTGCATATTATTTTCTTATCCGTAGATTCAAAGAGTGGATGTGTAAACTTTACCAGAAACTTCAGCTGCGTTCCAACATCCTTTATACATATAATTAGACTAGACCTAATAAATACGTCGGTATGCTTGGATATGGGAATTGATTAGAGCTTAGAAAATAAGCATATTATGTGATCATCAATCTAGTATAGTGAAGTTTGAACTCAAGTATGGATAAATCTGGTGCAAATGTTCTGTACGAAACTATTTCTACTTCTCCAATCACTCACATATAAATCTTGACGACTTTTAGTGAATTGTTACCGAACGACGCATTCGCATTAGGGCATGGTAAGCAAATGTTAGTGTTAAATTGAAATTCACTAAACTGAACTCATCGCAATGTACGGAAGGGATGTGACAGTTACTCAAGGATAAATGGTAATTATTAATAGCATCACTTCAGTTTACTTAACTGCATGACTGGTCGTTACAGTCATGGGATTGACTTCGTGAATATCTAGTAATAATTGACTATAATAGCAATAATAACAAACAGCTCTCGAAATGGTAGCTGATCACATTCCCTTAAAACGTACATTATAAACTTGAACGACCCTTTAGAAATTAGCATGCAAGGATTATTGGAGTTACATAATAAACTTGGTGAACTATTTCCCCATATAATAAACCAAATTTCGGGTTTGATGGATTCAATAGGAATCAGAAAAATCTAGGAAGTGAAATTAATAAATACGAGATTTGTCAAACTTCAAATATTATGCTAACGTCAATTTTTAACTAGCCTATATATGAAAATCATAATAAAATATGTACTCACAAAAGCAATGTATGTGAAAGAAAGAATGTTTAGTAGTGACGAAAATGGCGCTTTTGATAAAAATGAAAGCAGAATTGAATTTAAAAAACCGGATAATAAAAACTGTCTAACTACAGCTATATGTACACGTACACAGACACGTAAACACACCGTGGGCGCTAGGATAAGAAGATGACGAGGCAAGGAAATGTGGTGCATAGACTACACTACAATCATAGCCAGCAAATTATCAACCAAACAGAACGTCTTGAAGCAAGAAATGAATTAAGAAAAAATAACAAGTGATACGAAAGACATCGAGATGCTACACCTGAAGTAAACAAACACAAGAAAAAGGATGACAAAAGAAATGATGTACAGGCGCTTGAGAATATAATAACGAAACAAGTAAGAAATAACTCTATATCTTTCAATGTGACTGTTGATAATAGAAATAGAGGGGGTGAGGGTGAATAGAGTTTGCAAAATATACATGATTACAGAATCTGGATTTGTGATGTAGTCTTTTTTATGATGAAAGAAGATAAAGCGAACGGCACAAATGAATTTTTCAACAACTAACGATGATGTTACATTCCAGAGAATAAGTAAGTTTATGTCTCGCAAAAAGTTAACAAGAATCAATCAGCCGGGGGAATGATTTTTCACAATTTGGAAAGCTTGCACAGTAGGAAAAGCAGACCATACAGAGTAAGAAAGGCAAATTAAAGGAAGACAGTGAACGCAGAAAAAGCATAAACTCAGTGGTTTCAATGGCTTCAGAAATTAACAGTTCAAGAAACTATTATTTGCTGCTCCTAGAATATTTCAAAAGATAATCACTTAAAAATTTACTTATTGGAACCTATTCGTTGAGAAAGACGCAGGTAGATGTTCGTAAGTAATATGATCTGCTAAATATTATATATATATATATATATATATATATATATATATATATATATATATATGGATGTTTAGACGGACAGTCTAGATTCCGGTGCAGAAGATTCAGATTCTGCGACCATAGCAGCTGCAGCAGCTAAAATCACTGCAGCACCAGTCACAGCATCGACGTTAGCTCCTGGTTCACAAAGACGTTTATCATCAACGGGATCTGGTTTTTTTTCAGACTCGCTACTTGTATTGGAAGAATTAAATAACACATTGCGATAAGCTCTTTTTGCCGCATACCGAGGATGTTGGTAGGGATTACCATAGTTATGGTACTGGGGTGATTTCCAACTTTGTAACTCACTAGACATTTCATGTGTTGAATCCTGTGGTAATCGATTGCTATCCACTTTACTTTCTACTAAAAGTGAGTGCGATTCAGTGCAATGAAGTTGTAAATGTTCACCCGAATGAGGACTAATTGTATCTGGATTAACCGGAGACGTATAGGAGATGGTAACAGGGTTATTTGCGCAGTCACCTTTTGTGTCATGCAATTGTGGTACACATGAATGTGATGGCGATTCATCAAAAGAAGAACGATTTACGTGATTGGTACCACAAGTCACATTTGAAGAGGGTTCGGAACACTTCAAGGAATACGGGCCTAACCATGTAGCCTGATTTGAATACGGCGATAGTTTAGGTGCAGTGAACACAGAACGTCTGCGTTGACGAGTTGAGCGTGGACAATCATGAAGTTGTTGTACATCTCCGAATTCAGAAGCCATATGATGCACTTCAGTGGATCTTTCACATATATTACGATCAGATTCTGAAGAAAATCGGGCAGTTGAATCTAATCCAGAAGCATCTGCAGCATCTGAACCTGAGTAGTTAGCAGACACTGAGGTCACGGCAGCTAAAACAGCTGCGGCGCATGCAGCTGTGGAACTATTTAATCCTAAACCGCATAACTCCTTAAAGCAAAGCGCTTTAACTTTTTGAAGCTCTTCAATCAGCTGTTGATTTTGACTTTCTAAAAGACTAACTCGAGCTTCTAGACACTTTACATATTCTTTCTTTTTTCTACGACATTCCCTTGCAGCTTCTCTAAAATAAAAAAAGAGAAAACACCGTTGACATTTATAATAAACAGGCTTAGTAATACAACTCAGAAAATAATTAAAAGCAAACTCTTTTGACTGTTTCCTAATGTATAGATAATTGAGAAGTCTATCAAACACAGTGGGATTAAATTATCAATACATCGATAATCACATTACACTAATGAGGACAATGATTGAGTATATGATATTCCCCTATTTCAATTTAATCACTAGTCTATTTAGAAATAACCATTACGTCATCACCGTTGCCATCGTAAATCAAATAGTCATCGTCATAATATCAACTACAACTATTATGGTTAAGGCTTCTGATCTTACATCGGTGACATCACTGTCTCATAAATGATCATGAAACTGTATTCACAAATCATCTGAGATTGATTCTTAACAATGTTAGAACGTAGGTAAAAAAAAACACCCGACCAGAAACAAATTCCAAACAATAATATTATAAGAAACCAATTAGGGAAATGGAATCGTAAGAGTTACAAATCTAAAGATTAAATTATTAATTCTGTCAGTCATAATTAGTTTGAGCTTAATCTATTGCTTGGTCGAATAGTCAAAAACATATTATACATTCGTCTTACCATTAATTTAAACCATACTAGGTAAGTGAAGTCAATCAGCGCTACAGCAGTGGTAAAAAGAAGTAATTCATAAAATACACACTCAGTAGTAGAAATTTCCAGTTTAAGGAACTGTAATAATAATACTCATGAGTCGTACTTTGAGATCATATAACATCACCAAAGTACATCAACATTTTGAGGCGGAAATCTTAATATGAGCCAGTAACACTTCTGCAAAGAGGGAAACTCATGAATGTTGTATTATAAGTCAATATGATTTATGACAACTAATTAATGGCCATATGATATTAAAAATTTAACTTGTTTAAATCGGATTGAAAATGAAATAACATTACTAACATACTGTAAAAATGAATACATAAATACCTGTTTTTTAAGAGACGTTGTTCGCGTTTACGGTTTGGTTCATCAGTTTTAAAATCACACTCTGTCCCACAGTTGGTTCTTAATGACCTGCAGGAAACCGATGATCTGGAATTAGCTCCACTCAAATCATCCATTGGTGGATTTTTAACTCTACATTCAACATTTAATGGAGAAATATTCAACTGGGGAGTTGCTGAATTAGATAATGAGGAACAACTTAGTGGTGAAGTTGGAGGACATGTGGCCAATGCAAGTTCACTTGAAACTGATGTATGTGTAGGAGAAAAATATCTTGTATTACATTTATTAGAATTTCTATCAAATGATGGGTGAACACCTAATGGATGTACCAGATGCGAATCATACTTTGGTGATGTTTTGTAAAAAGGTTGGAAATTAGGATCTTCATAACCTCTATGTGGTACACTGGAAGAGTTTCGGGAGTTATCTACATTTTCATCAGGATCTAAAGTAGATAAATAATGCCGTGTAATTTTAGCCGGACCTTCTGAATTAATATCCATTAAATAAGATTCATCTGAACGATTACGTTGTTCGATACAATTATCGTTCAGAAAAGAAGTTGAAATAGATGTTGACTCACGGGTTAAGGAAAAACCTTCAGGGTAATCTGGAAGAGTTGATTGCTAAAACAAGGAAAGATCAGTGTAAAATTAGGGCTGGAATTAATGAAAGCTTTGAGATAAGGAATACTAAAATAACATAATTTAATGTAGAAACTCGGGGAACCATAAAACTCAATTTATTGGGTCTTAGTATTATGGTAAATAGCTAAAAATAGTGGAAAAGTATAAAAGGCTACCATGTTAAATGATGTTATGATTTATAGGTGGAAAGATTGGCAAAAATTGTAGGTAAGCGGATGGAATTCATAATATCGAGTGATTTCTCTCACACATCGCATACTTGTAGTTGAAATGTGGACACAGAATCGGTACGACAGTACATTTACAGTCAAAAGGAATTTGTTAAAGAAAACTTAAATGTTAAGTATTTCTTTAATTTAACTCTTCATCCATATTGGTACTTATTCTTAATACTTAATGTTAACAAGTATAGCGCACCCAAATGAGAAGCGGTGTTTGAACACGCATAAAGAATATGCCGACAACCCCATTAATCATTAATTCCCTTTACACAGTAATCCAAGTCTAACATTTTCATCGCTCACTCAGTGGTTTCAACATATGCAAACAATTATCAAAAAGAATACGTGGCAATAGCCTACGCTTATTTTTTTAGACCTTCAAATACCAAGTTCTACAGACAGAAAATAATACACAGTAGAACTTGGTGCAGCATACAGATAGCACACTTAAACTACATCTGATTCAAGCTGAGAGTGCTGCATTTGTCAGACATCAACTCACAAACACATAAAATTTCTGATAAATGCAATGAAGCTGGATTTTATGAAAAATTTTAAAGCCACACATTTTCCTTGAGGGTTGGTGAAATAGTAGTAGACGAAGTAAGCAATCAGCAATTAAAGGTTCCGAATATAAACCCACTGACTCATTAGACTGGATGACATCTCACTGTGCAATATACTATTCGATACCGATTAGTTTTAATTTGAAACCGTAAAGGTACCCGGAACACTAAGTTGCATGTAAGTAGAAAAAGGCAATCTATAGGTTACTTTAAGTCCACCTTGACGGTAAGCATAACGAGTGACGTTAGTGTGAGATTGCTTTGGCATCTACTAAACGAGTCTAAATAGTCCGACGGTATACGGCCCCAAATGCCATGGTATGGCCGAGAGTGGGGAGAGTCAGTCCCCCCTCTCAAAATGTTCTCAAGTGGCCACGTGTATACAACCACTTCTAGGGAAGTCCTACTCAATGTCTTCTCGTGGCGGGAGTGTTGTTTACAAAATTGAAAGGACGAAAAGCAAATGTCCGGCACCTTAACCGGGTTGATAGACACGGAGAGTCCTCCTAGGAGAGTTGAAAAACCCTGATTACAAACTAATGGTGTACATGGGCTCCAGGATCCTAAGGAAACAAATAGCGTATGAACCAATTGTTGGTCGACACCTATCATGGGACTGCATCCCCCTACGTTGCTTCACTGCCTTGTGGATTAGACGTTTGGTTCTAAGGCTCGAAGTGTGGCCCCCTAACAAAACCACCTGCTTCAGTTTGGTCACCCGGGCAGTATCCCAGACCTCACACAAATCGAATGATTTATGTGGTGCATATCTATTCGGTGCCTTCTTGTATCAATGTTTATGTGTTTAAATAAATAAAAATTATGCCTACAACAGTGTACACAGTTAGCATATAACAATAAAATAGTGGGAGATGCTATAGGGCCTTAAAAATTAACCACGAAAAGAAGGGCATAAAATCGTTAAGGAAGAGACTACATTTATTTATTTAGATATTCTTCCAGCGTTTTAGGCCTACAAGTTCTTTCCTGTGTTGAAACTTTACATAACTGCGCCAATTCGTGTAGTTAAAATTGGACAAGTTTGGTAGATAGATAGTATCGATTTCTTGACGAAGTCGTTTAAAGCTTTGATAACAGTTAACTAATCCTCATAGTCTAGTCATCTTAGAGACAATGAGGACTGAATACTAGTAAATTAATATGGAATGACTTTTTGTAGATCATAAAAATCGAGTCAGTCAATACAGGGAAGAAAAAACAATGGAGAAATTTGAACCTGGTGAAAAAACACTTCAACTTCATTACTTTAATTTCGACTAGGACAAAACAAAATATGAGCAGAGAACGTGCCTATAATATACATTACATTACTTAATGCCTTTACTTAAGGTTATCTACATTATATATATTTTACTGTTTTGACTTCAATCAGCTAGACAAATACAGAATCGGCACTTAAGTAATGGTGATAGCTGGGTAATAGAAGAAAGATTCAACAGTTAAAAATATGTAAGGGTAAAGTAACTGACTAGCTGTATATATATACGTGAATAGAACTAAAGGAGATCAAGAAAATTGTGTTTTCACAAGATGAAAAACCAATAGAGAGAAATCAAGGAATATTTTTCGTGTAAGAACCATGGTCAATTATTTTTAGGTATAAGAGTAAGTTGATAAAGGAGCTCTCCTAGATGCAATTCGATATCACAAAATGTCACGTCTTGGAGTTTAGTAAAACAGATAACGAGCCCCGTCTTTACTTGCTACTAAAAATGACAACACAAGAAGGAGTTTCAACCAAACGCATTCAAAGTTCTAAGTAGTCTATATTACATAACAAGTAAGCAATTAGGCTGTAGTCAAGTAACTAGTCAGTCATTCTCCATACTGTAAACTAACCTGACTATTGAGGAGCTGAGAATTTCCCAGATCAAGAGTAGACGTTACGTTTGAAGGCAAAAAAGACAATAACTGTGGTTCCTCACTGGGAGCACTTTTTAATTCATGCCTAGGTGCAACATCCATACACACTGGATTAAGTGCATTAGTGAAACATGGAGGAGCAAGTGTTGAAGAACGTCTTCTAAACACAGATGCTAGTGTAGAATGTGCAGTTAGTAATTTTGGATGTTGTTCAGAAAGGGAGATAAGATCATTCATAGCAGAATGACCAAGTAATGAACGTTGACATTCACGAAGTTCGGAACTAGAAGAATTGCTAATTGTTGTACACGTGGATGAAGCAGCTAAAGCCAATGATAACACCGCCGCCTGAAAATTAGATGTGCTAGAACTAGCTGATGGAGATCGAGGACTGGCAATAGCTTGAGCAGCAGCTAAGGCAGCTTGTTGTGCAGCTACTGAAATCATAGATGAAGATAAAGGAGATGGTTGTGGTGATTCTAGAAGGCTTGAAGTTGAACAACGTCTTCCGGAAAAAGTTACATTATTAGATGGTGATTCATTTACAGCTGCAGCTTGTATTAAAAGAGCGGCTGCTGCTGCTGCAGACATTGCAGATGGGTTATTTGTTCCGTAAGGTGACACTCCAGCGGCCATTCCTAATGCATCCAGGTTACTTCGATTATTATTATTATTATTATTATTATTATTATTGTATGAAACTTGATGAACCGTTTCTACTTGGACTTGATCATTAAGCAGATCATCAGGTACAAGATCCAGTTGATCAGGATTAAGAGACATGCACGCTGTCACACGAAACTGAATAGGATTATGAGAAGAGAGAACATGAGAAATGAAATTGCTTATAAAATGCGTTTTAGAGTAAAAAATAAAGTATGAACATAGATACTTTTAAGACTATTTATAGATGTTAATGGGATCAGTACAAAATTCATTATTAATCTGAACTACTGAAGGAATATGGTCAGATAAAGTTTAGTTGGTGTGATAAAAATGCCTGTAACTAGAAGGTATACAATAAGTTGTATAAGGTAGAAGAAAAGTGTGAGCATAAAAATCCTTAAAACAAGTGCGGTGTTCAGAGATCTACAATCAGTAATTTACCACCAAATAAAACAGTATTGAAAATATATTACAGTGTTTCAAACAAATATCGACAAACTAATAAACAGCGACAAGATAACAAAATATTATGAGTTGTGACGTGTAAATCAGGACGAATTAGAAACAATGGTATTCAGAAATGGGTTATCTAACTTTCCACAAAAGCATCTGCGTAGGATGAACATATTCAAAAACCTTGTAGTTTAACTTAACCAAAAGGCAAAAGATAACTCACACATAAGCTACATGGCACTGAATAAATGAACACACCAGAAGTTCAAAAATAAAGAGAAACTTCTCGTGACTTCTACGCTCAGTGGTATAAGAAGAGTATAGATTAGCACCATACTAAATGAACGGTAAAGCAAATGTTGTGCATTTTATTTACTACAAACGTCTACACATTATCGAGTATTCATATCGTCCAGATTTAGAAATAAGTGACTAAAACGGACTAGCTATGGGTAATAAATGTAATTTCACTATTAAATAATGAGATATTATAGGTAGGAAATATCGTAGAAAGATGTATGGGTTTGAAAAAATTGAAAGTTAGCGAGAGAGTGTATGATGGAAGTATTTTACACATATCAGAATTCGGTGAAGGTATTGGTCAGGGTTTTACTGTAAGTCGTTTGACGGTTATTTTCATCACTTTAAGTAACTTACTGTATATGTAGGTAAAAACGATTGTGATTAAAGTTTAGGATATTTTTGATTACTTTAAAACCGAATGAACTCCTGATCAATCACAAACTGGTTGCCAGTGGTTGAAACTCAAGTTTCGCAAAGTAGTACAAAATACTGAACACGAGCGATATAGAAACCAGACCACTTTTAACATATTTCCAATATGAATTGAAAGTAGGGATGCAGGAAATACGTGACAATTAGAAATGGATTACTTAGAACGTTTTGGTGTTGGATACAGGTGCTAGAGGGATACTGGTTTCATTTGCACGAACATGTAAGGGTTATTGAATAATATATCATATAAATCAATGATTCTGGATGGGATTTCATAAAAATCAACAATTAATAATTCATTTAACTCACCTTCTATGGGATTCTGTAAGCATTAACGAACAAAATAACGCCCAGGATAATCGGATAGGGAAAACCAAGACGAATCATCTAATCCCAGATATGGCTGGTAGGCGTATTCACAATAGCAAAAACCTGAAATATACGAGTGAAATACAGCAAATACTACCATTGTGGTGTAAACATTATATCAGTAAACGATAGTGCAGAACAACAGAGATTAGTGTATGGCGACATCGTGGAGGATAAAATAGAGGTGCAAGCACCTTTAGGCGGATAAAAACATCGTGTATGTGGGGGTGATATGGTGCGGTACTTCTGGTTAACTAATATTTCTAACTCAAGTACTGAGTTTATGAGTATTCTCCGCATACACAAATCACACTCTAGAGGGCATAGTGAGCAAACGATAAGTTTCTCAAACCTCAGTTAAAACTGATAGCAATGATGTCAGGGCCTCAAAATATGACATGATCCTTCCCCACTAGACTTTTTTCTTAAAGGCATTTAGTTGTAATTATTTGTGCTTTATGGAATGGTATTCCCAACTAGCTGTAACCTTGTTTAGAATTACACAACAATAAGTTTTAATTACTAAAATAATAGAACTTCATACAGAAATCTATGCCGTCTCTAAAATCTCTGCCCAGAAAAAGTGGTTATTCACTTGATCATATCAAACTAGTACGAAAAACTAGCACGATTAGTTTTTTAATTAACTGGAAAACCCGATAACTTTCCATAGTTTAGTAAGTGCATAAGTAGCGTAAATTTAGGAACCAGGAGAGATTGCATTACACTTAGAGGTCACATGTTTGCTATCTGATTGGATGAAGATGTACAAACTGGGAAATATGTAGGTACATGATGCCTTCTGTTTTCAATTTGTCTAAGTACTCACTGTTTGTAGCTTAGGTAGAGCATAAGATATATCTCGTCGAAAATAGTGTAACATCTTTTGGATATCGAGAAGTTCAGAAGCAACAATTGTAGCAAATTAAAAAGAGAAACCTAGGCAGAACTTTTGATATTCAAGTCTGGTGACGGTAACTTTGTTCTGACAACCACTTCCTTCCAAAAAATACCAACTCCAAACAATCGGATACATTTGTAAATGGCAATTGACAGTCAACATATAGTGGACGCAAAAAGATCATATAGGTAAATCGCTGCCGAAGATTAACCAAGGGATATTGTCGATCTTTCGGATCAAATGTCTAGTGTGTTACCTGTATTACTTGACACCAAAAAGTTGCACCAGGAACACTTCCGGTCAAACTTAAGGATGGAAACGTTAAGGTTTAACTTAAAGAACTACCTAGGGATAGCTAGATATAGTTTTTAGTCTGTTGCTATGTCAGAGGTTACGTTTACTGGAGACTTAAAAGAAAGGCTTGGACTTTCGCAACCTTGGTAGAATTAATGGCAGCAGGGTCCACAAAAATATAAGAATCAAGAACTTTATAAAAATTCGACGCAACAAACGTTAGTGAAGGGTAATAAAAACAAGAGGTGGGCGACAGGTAACATTAAAAAGTTGTTTAGAATTATCAAGGAAATTTGGATTAAAGGATTGGTAGTTGGTCAGTCATCAACTCAGAGCTTGCACAGAAGTATACCGGCTTAAGTTATCACAGTTCAGGACCTAGAACTAACCTCCTACTTGAAGACTCTCATACAGAGGTCGAAGGCATGAGTAGTTTGATAATGCTTGAGTGTAAATGTCCACATAGCGCTAACCGCTTAAAGTGGAATAACTGAGTGAAAAATTCTGGGATAACGGACGGAGTACTAGATAAACGTGCGAAATCGAATGGTGAGGTTGTGAATCCATAGCGTCTAAGGTAATTGTAATAAATGATGTAATGCCTGAAAATCGCGCAGGAAATACTAGCTAGCAAAGTCATCTGAAGAGACTAATGGTGATGTAACTTAAATATGACATGTTCATGAAGAAGTTACAGAATGACAATACTTTTTGTATTGATTAAGTACCAAATTTCAGGTCATTTACATTTATTCAACTGCAGGCTCAGATAAGCTTGGAGCCAATCAGTCATACTCAGCAAAGAGCTTGGGACAGATGTTTATTGGCCTAAGTTGCCATAACACAAAAGGACGAAGAGATTAAATTAACAAAACGAATGGCAAAAGTGTTGACATAATTATAATAGGAATGATACTGATAAACACTGATGATTGAGAATATGGTTCGAGAAGACCGAGTTAAAAGATATCAGTGAAGGAATATTTGAGTTTAAGATCTACAGGAATAAAAAAATTGAATACGTTTGGGACACTAACCCATTTTGAGTCATGTCATTCAACATCTTGAACTACTGACTGTGGTTATTGCACAGGCCTTAACCACGCGAGTTAGCAGAAGCCAGGTAGGCTTTTTGAATCTGTGGGGAGATTATTTTCAAAAGCCGAAATACGGTTGATAAAGCTTTCAAGATAGCTGAAATGATCAACATACTAAACCACTGACTAATTAATGACCCAGACCGATCCTGAAGCAAGCTTGCAGATATTCAGTTCAGTATATCTAAGATAAGTGCTAAGTTTTCTACACGTACGATTGATGTTGCGGTTAGCCCATATTGGTGGATGGGTGTTGTATGTACTAAGACGGTGTGTAAATATGATATAATCCAAACCAACAGAAAATAGGCTGCCGGGAATAGTGCACCATGTATTTAATAACTAACGAAATATAAACACAAACCAAATGTTCCTCCTATTAGATCAGAGAGAAAATCGTAAGGAATAAAATAAAAACTAACGCAATAATTGCTGACTTTTATTCAGTCAGTAACAACGTAGAACTTCGTGCGTACGTACATCAGTTCGAGTTGCCACACCACATTAGCATAGAGATGCAGTGGTCGATTCAAATCCCGTAGTGGTAGAGGTAATAAGAGTATAAGCAGTAATCGGGAAGATTAGTTTTGGAGATATTACTTAAAGAGTATAATACAGTGAAATAAATTTGAGAGGGGAAAAAAAGAGACAATGAAGAATAAGGAGATCAAAATTATGGAGAACACAAAGAGTGTATGCACCTGCGCCATTGCAAACGATTTTGAGCCATGTCATTCAGGGTCTCTAACCATCGGTTGCTATCATCTCGCGGTCCCCAACCAGGTAGTCTACACCTACCGACATGACCCAGACCACTTGTCAGTGACTTCATGGACTTGTGCCATGTTTTGGTCTGGCCGCCCCTAGCTTTCTTCCAACCTACTCCACTCATATACCACTGAACATCGCACGTCGAGGCAGTCGGTCGTTGGGCATACGTAACACGTGTCCCAGCCATCTCAACTGATGAAGTTTCACTACGTCATCAATTGATTTGCCATCCTTACCTAGTACCCGTTTCCTAACAACTGCATTACTTACTCGATGGTCCCACGATATACGAGCAATATTTCGAAGACACCTATTCAAGAACACAGACGAGCCTTCTGATCACTTTTAACAGCTTATCAATTTATGAGTAAGATCGGACTCTACAAGAAATAATTCAGATTTCGAAGGTGTAAAGTGTATAAAGAACTTACTTGGGGAGGGGGATCGCTAATTAAGTGCCATTAGGGGTGGCTAATCTATTAGCCCACAGTAAGATTGCCATCCGCTTATTTAAAGTTGAAAAACTAGGTAATAAATCTACACCAATAAGCACTTGCTTTACAGTTGTTTATATAATTTCATTGATGATAAAACTAAAGGGGAGTGGAGAATTAACCGAGGCCTACTGATAGTTGAGAGCGGGATTAGTTATTAAAGCACTCAACTCTAGACCATAAATTTGCAAGTCCGAACACTGGAACGTCGACTTGGGTTCAGCAGTCAAAAAGTGTTGCTAGCCTTCAAACTATCAGGATGATTTTGAGCACACAAACATGTACTTGGTGAACGCTACATTGATAACCAATGACTATTAATCTTGAAATACTTTATTTAAACACAAACATTGATACAAGAAGGCACCGAATAGATATGCACCACATAAATCATTCGATTTGTGTGAGGTCTGGGATACTGCCCGGGTGACCAAACTGAAGCAGGTGGTTTTGTTAGGGGGCCACACTTCGAGCCTTAGAACCAAACGTCTAATCCACAAGGCAGTGAAGCAACGTAGGGGGATGCAGTCCCATGATAGGTGTCGACCAACAATTGGTTCATACGCTATTTGTTTCCTTAGGATCCTGGAGCCCATGTACACCATTAGTTTGTAATCAGGGTTTTTCAACTCTCCTAGGAAGACTCTCCGTGTCTATCAACCCGGTTAAGGTGCCGGACATTTGCTTTTCGTCCTTTCAATTTTGTAAACAACACTCCCGCCACGAGAAGACATTGAGTAGGACTTCCCTAGAAGTGGTTGTATACACGTGGCCACTTGAGAACATTTTGAGAGGGGGGACTGACTCTCCCCACTCTCGGCCATACCAGGGTATTTGGGGGTAACGGGAGATTTGATATTCTTATTCTATGAAGTTTTCGTGTAGGCATGTCGAAGGATACTGAAGGACTTCTTAGGAACGCTTTTTCAAAAGACGATCCCAGAGTATAGTCATATCCAACGAGGTGAAATGCGTGTAATTGTTCAAGGTTTTGCTAATGAATGTGTTATTACACTCATAACTTGGACGAAGAACGATTTTCTTGTTAGGATCCAGTTATTTTGGATTCTTGACATTATGGATAGTACTATGAAATCCAGTATTCTAAACGCAATTAACGGGAAAATTGAACTCTAGTGGTTGTCACAAACGTCAATACGGTTCTCCTTAAAGACAGCGCATCAATCTTTTTGTCAAAATTATAGAACACTAACCTCTTTATCTTTCTAAGTGACTTGTGTGGTGTATATGTATTCGGTGTCATTTTGTACCAATATTTGCGTTTGAATAAATAAAATAAAATACCCAAGCAACTCAGTCGAATTTCAACTATAATGTTGCATGAACTGAATAAAAGATCAAGAAACTAGTCTGGTGACTCGTAACACTTAAAAACTGGGTATTTTTCAGGATATCTGCTAGCTGAGGATTGTACAACGATTTAATCTCAGTTCGTGGCAAGTGTTCAGTTATACTGTCTAAATATTGTACTAAGAGCTCTAGACGGTTATAACAGTTGCCTAAATGAGGACTTGAACTAGGTTGTAAATGATAACTATCGGGTTGTGCCAATCAACCGCTTATCATTGTATATGAATTTAACGTTATCGTGGCATAATTACGTTTTAGTGGCTAATTGTGAAAGCGAATACGTCGAGTATTTTAACCAATTTAACCTAGCTGAATATGATTAGCTTTCAATATCAGGCATAATGTAGATATAGAAGACGGAATGGATCACTGGATATTATTCATCGTCGAGAATAATTTAATTCGTGAGCATTTTTCAGCAAATCATTTTTAATTTAATGTTTGCGTGCTTTTGCCCGGCAATGAGTAATATAACTTCAAGGATATTTTGATGCCCGTTAAGAAAGGGAAACCTTAGAAGACACTCCCACCAAGTCAATATAATTGATCATTTAGATAGAAAATATATGGAATACTAATTATTCTGAATTTTTCTGACGTTAGACTAAGGTTATACAAATTGATCAGATCTGTACACATTTAAATCTAGGCTTGATACTTTGAATATGCTAACAACATATTGTGCAATTATGTACAAATAATCAGTCTTAAGCAGCACAGAACTGACGCATGGGCATCGGCCCGAGTTAATATGTACAGAGAATACAAAAAGTGGCCGGGAATTCATGTTTGACAATACTTGGGTAAGTATTTTGGAATTAGTTAGCTATAATCAACATAAAACTTGAAACAAATGGGCATCACCTTAAGTTATAGTAAGTTCTACAGGGGTGAAATATCAAAGGAGTCGAAACTGTAGTGATACCAAGAGGAGCAAGAAAAAATTAACAAAACGAGTGTAGTTTGAAAAATGACAAAGGAGAATCTAATCAAAAATAGTGTTAAAAATTGGGGTCGAAGGCTGAGGAATGAATGCAGCTACGCCGCTGAGACTACAGTTCATCTTGATTAAAATCTTTAGACTGGTTACGATTATCGTCTAGAGCACAACCTATTAGTCTACATTTCGTAACATCAATGGTACATGTATTTACGATATGTTCTCATATGTTTGCTTAGGATAAAATACGAAACACATTACAAGGTAGGTAATTGTTTAGCAAGATTGTTATGAAAATAATAACACTCAGAAGAACTGAAGTGATTTTTTACTATAAATTAATGTCAAGAACCTTGTTAGTTAATATTATGAAGTTTTCGTCCTGAGGAATTTGTAAATATTTCAATACAATTCAATAGAGGAAGATTCATGTAAACACATCTATGATGGAAAACAGATGGAGAGTGGATCGAATTCTTAAGTCTTAAATGAAGATATATCAATATGTTTCTACAAGACCCTGAGTTTCGTGCACCTCCCAGAAATAGTGAGACCCGAATCCAAACAATTTATTCACAAACGTTTTCCAGTAAAACTCCACTTTAGACAGAGTCGTACACTAATACGGTTTGTGACTTAGCATTCATGACGTATGGCTAGTAAACATAACATCACTCACTATTAAAACCATTGCCAGTTTCTATCAGGCGTTAAGCCAGCTAGTGAGCTTTCGTATGACTTTCACTTCATATTACACCTCAAATTTAGAACAAAGATGTAACTCTTACAAAGTGATGTCGAGAATGAAAGTGGATACTGTATGAACATACAAGCTAAATTTAGCCTGTACACGATATAATTAGTTACCAAGTTAAATTATTTCGAACCACTACTTAAATGCGCTAATCGGACTATATGTAGATGATTAAGAACCGTTACAGTAAACAGGGTATGTAAAGTACATACCTGGTAAAATTAGCATTAATCACAACTCATTACAAGTAATTCAAAGCCAGTCCTTAGTCAACAACACGCCAGTTTTAAACAAAACAGAAAGCAAGGTTGTCTGACTCCGAAGGTCAAATCTACCTTTACTAATGGGAAAAGATCTCACAATGTTACATTGTCATGCTAATCTGTTAGCATGATCGTTAAATATCTCTTCTGTAAATATATGTCAACATGTATATACGTCTGCAGAAAAAATCCCTAAGCCTGACAGTTTCACATTCGTTCTTACAAACTATCCCTCCGGTCCAATATTGATCATGTTTCGTTCACCATCAGTTTGGCACATGGTAACCCATCCACATCTGAGTGACAAGCACTCTTTTTATCGGTTTGTCTTAATGGCAGTACGAAGGTCATCAATATGGACGTCGTTTCAGAAGTCACTCTCATCAAAATAAAAAGAACATCCTTAGGAAAAAAGCCAGGAGATTGCTACATTGTAACTACCATTATCATTTGGCTGAATTTTCTACTTCAGATTCCCGAATGCTTAGGAACTCTGCTTCAAGACATTGGTCTGAATGATATTTTGATTTCCGAAAAAGTGCACGCTTGTCTTACATGCACGACTAAAATAGTATACAAAGACTAACAAAGTGCGTTCAGCTTAGGTAGCATCAGATATATTGGCTATCATGTCGAGTTATCCTCGAGGCCAATATTTCACAGATACATAGAGAGTTTTAAAACAGTAGTTTAGAGCTGCATAGATCTACTCTGTGTTGAGATATGTAAGGGCTTTATAACGACTTATATTGATTCTTCTAGTCCACATTTTCCATGACTAAACGTAGAAATGGTTAACTTTAAGAACATTAGGCCTATCTAGTGGTCTGGAAACTGAATGTAAATGAAAATAATTGTAACCAAATAAAGGTACCATATATACGCTGCTGCAAACAGCTTTGTTGATTATACACGAAAATTATTTTAACGCGCTGGATGTTTGGACACCAGATATTAATCAAATACTACATCCCATGAACACGTGATTCACCCAGAGAATATAGACTGACAGTGATTATTAGAATAGAATCTGTGGAACATGACAGTCAACATGTTAAAGCTAGCTCACGATGCACAGACATTCCGGTGGCCTGACTGTTAACATTTCATGCTAATCCAGCTATACCTCATTTACTGTAGCGACCTACAGACTGGCTGAACTATTCATACCGCTATAAACCTCCTGTTTCTTGGTTTATTCGTGTTATGCTCATACCTCCTGCGTCTAAGTACCATGAGTAGCAATACACTGGCTATTGGTTTATCGAAATAGTGGCCGTTCACCCCACACACCACTCGTCTACAACAGGCAGAGCCAATATCAGGCCCTTTCTTAAGAGTGCTACTCGACGTCACTACCTCTTACTACTTTCTTATATGTCATCAGCTGGTAGATAACAACTTATTATTTCCCACCGACACACACATACCGTGGCACGACTTTCTGAGAAAAGTTCCTGAATTCAACACAGCATGTACTGATATACCCTATATTTGACCTTTCCATCGATGTGACATCACACAACAGACACGAATTATCTCACGTTGATATTAATCTCCAGTAAGCATTTGAATATACCGCACAAATCACCTCGTTAGACGAACTGACACCATGGTAGCTTATCTACGGGGGTCAAAATCTACTAACCACTGACGACAAGAACTAATGAAGACCGAGATAATAACTGACAACAATGATGACAATAACTGAATAAACATATTCGAGACGAAACCGACCTATTGATCTTGGCTTCTGTGATCTAAGTACATTATATGTGTTAGCCGACTTAATTATGCTACTAGATTAACATACCTACCACACTGTTACTGACTCGCGAAGTAACTGTCTAATATGTATGATCTGATGTCAATGTCACCCCATCGTTTATCTTGCCTTGTCATGGAAGTTCGAGATACCTCTTCGTGATAGCCTTCGAATAACATGTATAATCTTACCAAGAGAACGATATATCAAGTATGTTGACAAAAAATGTTAGAAGTTCGGCGAACAAACTTGATTGACTTGGCCAGCCAGTGTTGTTTAATTATCACTGAGGGTTGACAAATATGTCGGGCTCGACATTGTTCACGTTTCTCGGGAACACAAGGTGATATTATACAGAAAGATAAGAAACAATATGCATTAGTAGACGTATATACAAGAGTTTGTTATTTAATACTTTGTAGTACCCTATAAAGCATCAGGTCACCCAATGTGTTCTACTCTATCACTTTCGAACACTAGGTCATTGAAAAATAGTCACATAATTCTCGATTCTTCGGTCATTACTCATTCAAACTCTCTGCCAAACACGTCCTGAGATTTGTAATGGGCAACCTGTCCTTAGTGTTTACATCCAATGTTCTCACTAGCTTGTGGAAGACTGAGGTTCCACTCCAAGTATCGACTCAGTAACTCAATATGTCTCAATGACACCTGACTGCCAGCGAAGTTCGACCCCTCATCACTAAACGTCACTTTGGAAGTGCCAATATGACCAATATGAACGCATCAGTCGATAAGTTCTGCATCATATCACCATGCATAGTTCCAACCTACAGACAGGCGAACGGGGAAACCAACTACTGAAGCTGTCCGTAGTGAGAACTTCACTAGCTAACAAATATTTTTTGTGTTGCTGAAACAACCTTCCTAGTCCAATATATTTGACTCGCCATAATATTACTGCATAATCTATAGGATCTTATATTCAAATCATACCACTGTATACCATGACCTAGCTTATCGTGGAGGCTGTTGTTCTCCTCTTTACAGTATTCGTAGAACGAAAAAAACTTACAAGCAGAATACTGTATATGATATGAAGGCGAGAGAGATTTGTGTGACAGCCATTCCTCAATGGCTGACCATCCATCATCTAGTACTAATAAACACTTTCACAATCTGACCTAGCTTTTTAGTAGACCTTGGACAGCATGCAACTACTGAGTCACTTTTAGTTTAAAAAAAATGCGTTGTCTTCACGAGAAACTGTGGCCTTCATACATATACGCCTTGTTTACGTGTTCTTGTATTTCTACAATTATGCACTTCATGAGTACTTGTGTATATGTCTATCACTCATCATCTTTATCCAAAAAGTGTCTCTTTACCACACTAATAATAATAATAATAATAATTTTTTCTCAAATAACAGTTTGTTACATGAGGCATGCCAGTTTACAGGCAAGATCAAATTGATACAAATGATACAATATACACTGTATTAAATTACATAGCTGGGTTGAAAATTTATAAGACATGAATGTAGATTGTTTTAATCAGTACTATAGTTGGCGCGCTTCACGAAAGTTGCGTTGCGAATGTGCGGCTGATGTTCAAGAATAGGTCCATTGAAGGTATGAGCTTCTAGAAATCGCAACCTTATGTCCCTTTGGGATATCCAAGGCTTTAAGGATGGTGCAGGATGAAGTAACCTGTTCCATATCTCAAGGGGGCTGAAAGAGGGAGCAAGTAAAAGAAAACACGAGAGGCAGAGTAGCCAATATTCATGTAGGAATGTTTAAGGTATGATTACTCAGTCTAATTTTCTTTTATTAAGGTATTTGTTAAGAAAGAGCATTTTAATAGGTTAAAGAAAATAAGCTTTAGCAAGGTGTGAGTGGACATACAACTGACAAATGGAGGCGATTCGGAAAAGAGCTGAGAGTATAAGATTATGTGTGATTATAAAATAAAATATAGTGCTAGAAACAGTATTGTGATATACAACTGGCTATCTTCCTTTTATTATCGAAGCTATTAGAGCCCCTTTCGTTTTTTTTTATTTGTTTTTTTTTCAGGTTTTATAGGGTCTTGAGTAGGCTTCGTATATTAGCGAATTGTCTAGTTTGCTTGTAATAGGATTTCTGAGTAGGAAGTGAAACCAATTCAACGTTCGTAACACGATTTAATGAGGTATTTTGCGTGATAAATCAGCTTCAATACCTTAAGTCCGTGACATCCCACTAAACCATAAGGAGCCGTAATTAAACAAAATGTTCTGCCCTACAGACATGGGTGGATTGAAGTTATCTCTCCACCTTCACGTTTGCTGGTCAGTAACGCCACCCTCCCTCCTTTTGTGATGTTAGGCTCTCTTACGTTTGTGGTAAGTATGATTAATGCTTTAATCAAAGCACATAGTTGGAATACACTGTCTCTACTAGGTCCATGTTACAAGCAAATCAGATATTTAAAAATTCTGTTTTATGGGTTAGATGTCCATATAGTATATCACACTGCTATGAAAATAACTAATGGTTTAAAGAAGTAAGGATTAATAGTAAATCAAAAGATATGAGAGGGTATAAAATTGTAGAAAAAAAGAAAAAGATTTTAGGGTGAGAAAAATAAAACATTGAGAAACTCACAAGACTTTGTGGCCAAATTTTGAGCTTTGAATGATCGGCCTCAGTAGATCAGCATCCATAAGATTGAGCTATCTGTTTACTTGCAGTAGAAAAAAAAGCATGACTTTTAGGAAGAATAATGTACATTTAACCTGTAGAGATTTGGGGACTGAAAGCTAGGGTTAGGAGCATGAAATCATGATTAATAAACAATGAATAATAGGAAAGGATAAGCCATATATCCTGTGATTTGGTTATATTCAGATTAGTAACAGTCGAACTTGTTATAATTTTGTTCTTTCTAGATACTAGGCGGTCCGTAATAAAGTGCCTCATCGGTGGGCGGGAGTTCAAGGTAATGTTGAAGCTCTTTGGAGTCTAGAAATAGGGTTATTAGCTTTTTGAATCTGGTAAACGTATCACAGTTACGGATAGGCATTGGCAGCCTGTTCCACAATAAACTGTACCGTACTGTAAAGAACTTACAACGCATTTGTTTTTGGTGTTTTACGGTAAGTAGTGTATATGCGTTGTTTCGAAGTCTATAGGCTGGGTCGTGGGTGATAGTCGGGCAGGAGGTTGGAAAGGAAAGCCCATATATCGCTTTGTAGAGAAATATTAAATTGTGTTTTAGCCTACGGTGCCATAAAGGTTCTAAAGATAGATGCTTACATCTGTCTGTGTAATCGAGATTCGAGTTACATCCTAGTAGTTGACGTGTGAAACGTCTTTGAACATCTACTCTTATCTTGTCTGCGATATTCATATTAGAGAAGACAAAAGAGCAGTATTCAAGGGTGGGTCGTACACAT